TTGGAATTATTGCTTTAGAGTGTATGTGAGGCTATAATAATTGTGAATTATTAATATAAATGTAACTATATTTTAATGCAAGATCATTCAATTGGTATGAGTGAACCTAAGTATGAAGAAACTAAATCTCTCTGAGAATCAGTTACATATTTATATTTATGTTAAATAGTAATGAAGCATTCTGGTTTTATAAAGAAGTCTCATAACTCAGTTGACATGAACTACTCCTAACAGATAAATCTTCTTTTAGTGAACTGTGACAGCTCACATTTTTCAGTCCAATCTACAAAAGTGAGGACAATGCTTAGCAGTTTTGTCTGAGTGGCTGGTTCATTTCATTCATCATATGGCACTTACAGCACCTTTAATTTTGTCAGAGCCAATATTCATCTAAAAACCTCCATGAATGGAAGAGGAAGTAAGGCTTTTAGTGGAATTGAACAAAGGACTTAAAGCACCAATCGTTTTCCAAAATCACATTGGAACCGGTAGTGGAAGATGAATTAGAAGATCACTTTCTGATGCTTTGTATCATGTTCTTTGACATGTTTTCTGTGGTTAGGACAACCTGAAGTTCAGAGATAGAGGAAGATGTAGAAAGGTCAGATTTTCTGTTCATTGTAAGGAGGAAGTAATTCTAGATAGATTGCTAAAACTAGAAATACCCTTTAAGAAGTCCTTTCTTTATAAACTATCCATCTGAAGTTTAGCTTAGCCCCGTGGTGTGTGTGTGTGTGTGTGTGTGTGTGTGTGTGTGTGTGCGCGCGCTCGCACATAGGCAATGGATTCTGGGATTATTTCTGTGGTTTGATTAACAGTATTTTGCAAATAGTTATGATAAGTATAGTAAGAAAATAATTTGTCCCACATCAATTCAAGATACAAAAGAGAATTTTATGGTTTGATTTACTCTGTTCCTCCCGAAGCTTGGAAATTTAATTATCCCATCTTTCTTTTTGTTATATTTCAAGCAGCGTACTATTAATTTTCCAGTGTATTTATAATGTTTTTCTCTTTCTAATTTTTGTGTCACATGTATGCTATTAGAAAGAAATCAAATAATTCTGGTTTTCGATCCTTGAAATGGTATCAGAAAATGTAAAATATAGCATAATTATATATACATAAATATGAAATTTGACTTCTTAAAGCTTATTTATTTAGAGCCGCGGTTCTCAATAATCCCTTAATGTAGTTCCTCATGTTGTAGTAATCCCACAAATGAAATTATTTTCATTGCTGCTTCTTAACTGTAATTTTGCTACTGTTATGAATCAGAATATAAATGTCTGATATGTAGATGGCCTTAGTTTCCCCTGTAAAAGGACTGTTCAATCCCCGGAAGGACTGTGACCAACAGGTTGAGAACCACTGATTTGGAGGGATTTCTTTTTGGGTTTTTTTTTTTATGAATCTTTGAGAATTTCATACCTTGTTTTTAATCATATTAGTACTTATCCCCTATATCTTCCCAGATGTACCACCATTCCATACTCACCCAATTTTGTGTCCTGACTTTTGTTTAAAAATGAGAAAACCCTGGATACCGTTAGTGCTGCTTATATGCTCTTTGGTGTGTGGCTGACCACAAGTAGCATGTTAGACTTACCTGAAGTAATACTCTTAAAGAAAGCTAACTCTCCCAGCAGCTACAAATTGCCAATAGTTTCTCAGCTAGAAGTGGGACTTTGTGCTCTTCTCCCATCTCCATGCTCAGATTAGTCTGACTGTAGCTTGTTCGTGTATGTCTTCGGCATGCAGTCACAACACTGTGAGTTCATATGTGCAACAATTCTGTCGTGTCAGGAAAACACTCTTACCATGTAGTCATCCTGCTTCAAGCTCTTAACATCTTTCTGCTGTCTCTTCCACTATGGTATTTGAGACTTAGGAGGAGGTGGTACAGATACAGATGTCATGTTTAGGGCTGAGTATTCTGAAGTCTTTTATTCTGTGCATGTGGACCAGTTGTGGATCTTTGTTTCAATTGCCATGTACTGCAAAAAGACGTTTCTCTGATGAGGTATGAGAGATGCACTAATCTGCAGGTATTGGAAGACACCATTAAGAGTTACTTTAATACTATGGTCTATTAGCAGAGTATTGTAGTTGGTTCTCCACTAGGACCTCTGACCTCTCTAGTCACAGGTTCTTGACCCTGATAACTATACCAAGTATGAGTTTCACCCCATGGAATAGTCATTAAATCTAATCATAAAGTGGCTGGTTATCTACATGACATTGCTGGCACAATGGCAACAGTGGGCAAATCTTGCCAGGCCAGTTATTATTGAAGCTTGAAGGATTTGTAGCTGGTGATTTGTGATTACTCTTTTCTCCTCTGCTAACATGCGTAGCACCCTTCAGCACCATGAAAGCCAGCTATTAGGGATGAAGCTTCCAGATCAATACTAGCTTAATTTCCCCATGTTCTTTGACTCAAATCTGTGAGGTCTTCAGGAATAGGGTATTACTGCCAAGTTCTTGAGGGTAACAAACAGCAAGAGCAATAACCTATATTTCCAGTGTATGAGACTTCATTGCCCAACAACTTTAACAGATATTACCTGCTCTAAGTGTTGATATTGGGCATTTTTTGTGCTCTGTAAAGTCAAGTAAGGACATTGATGCTTCTTTATAGGGTAACTCTATTTAAGGTATTTTTATATATGTATGTTTATATTTTAGGAAGCTTCTAAAATAGGAGTTTTTCATATAACTTTTTCAAAAGCTCTTTAGTGTTAGTTACCCCTCTATATTTTCCTCACCCCAATATAACCCTTCTTTTTACATTATTTCCATTTTCTCCTTTATATCACTGACCAGAGAAGTATTTTGTAGGTAGTATTCCTACTGAAGTTAACTTTAAATACTTTTGAGATGGAAACCACATGTATATTCTACCATTCTTTATGTGTACTTGGAAGTGACTTTGGCCCTTTGAAAGAGTGGAATATGCTCTTAACCCATGAGCTATCTTTTCAGCTGTGGAGCTTGATATCTGAATCACTTAGAGGCAATTTTTGGAATCTCTGAGGGAATTAAACATTTAAAAAGCACATTTATCCCAATGCTAAATATCATGGAAGAAAGAGTTAATGCTAGGGTCCAATACCTGAGTTTGAATGATGATACCTCACTATGTGATGAACATGTAACATTAAACATTATAATTAAATAATACAAAACTCCATTTTTTCTGTAAAATGGTTCTGATGGTACATCTTTATCCAGTTTTAATAGGTTTTTCTAGGGGTAAAGCAATACCTAAAATTTAAAAAAATTCTATTATTTCTAGATGACTTAGACAGAAGGTGACTTACTGGAACACCCCAGAACAGTTCATTAAATCAATGGAAAATCATGGAAACCATGTACAGAAAACATGGTAAGCATAGATACTGGAACTAACACAGTTGACCACCACGCCAAGAAATGTTCACTAGGACAGAAAGTACAAGCCCAATTATCCTTTTTAAGGTCTTGCAATCAAGATTGTGAATTCTTAGACCGAGAATGAGACCTGATGTATCATGAACATTTCACTTGGGTTAACTAGCATAGGGCACCTGGATTTTCCATCAAGACTGACAACCTGAAGAAGAGGAGGTGACCTTAGGAAGAAGAGGAATGGAGACTATCTCCAATCAACAACAGTCACAAAACAAAACCATGTTCATTGAAGTCCCCAAAATTGAATAAATGTCACAAGAGTTATCTGGGGTGGTGTGGAAAAGACAGTGGTGACGAACATGTTAGTGGGGCAATAATAAAAAGGTAAGTACTAATAACTTTACAGAACTTTTGGTGTTTACATAGATGCCATACAAAGTTTCAAGATAAACAAATATTATCAATCATATTTTTTTGAGTTTGTTGGCCTAGTTCTTCCAAATCAGGGCTTTCAGGCTGTCTTTCTTACAACTTAGGATCACAGGTAAATATACCTGAGGGGCCCCAGATGACAGAGTTGGAATGAAGGGGTCCCTGATTGCAGATATGGATTCTTTAAATTGAAGGTTTTTATGTGAATTACAAAGGTTGAAAAAAATTACTCCTAAAAATAGCACTAGCATATCATCCTGAGCTCAATGAAAACATGCAGAAAGTTTTTATAAATAGCATATTTAGGCTTTTTAAATTACACCAGTCTCTATCAACAACTGGGCAGCTGGGTACACATGCAAAAAATTGCTTTATTGTTTGATTCTTATCAATATTATCTCAGCATGGTTCAAACAATTCAGTTTTCAATTGCAGTCTGAAAAAAATGTTTACCTGCCAAGATGGTTTGTTGAAATAACATTGAATTGAATTTGATCTCCTTGGGACACAGAGGAATTAATAGGCTCAGACAAATGGAACTTCTTTGCTGCAAAATATCTCCTTCTTCAGTGAGGACTCTGTGGATCCAGTGCAGTGCCTTGCTGCCCAAATTCTACTTGACAAAAGAGAAGTCTGTTGACTAATATTTTGCCCCATCAACATTTTCATGCACTTCATGGAGAAAGAGAAAGTATATTTAGTCAAGTACATTGTGGTTTTAGAGAAGGTTTTGGAGGGAGGATGGGAGTCTTTGGAAAGCACATTGTTTTAGCTTCATTCCAATCAACATAAGCTGCATTCCCATTTTTGAGATTGCATAAAATAATCTGACAGTTTCATGCAAGGCGAAGCCTGTGGTTGAAACAATAACCGCACAGACATACACCAGTGTAGTGGCATTTAAACCCCACCTTCACACCAGTCCATCATCCTTCCATCCAGGAAGCTTTCATATGTGTTCCTTCAATGCCATCCTTATTCTGATGAAGCTGTATCTTCATGAAGAGTAAAGGAAGTAATATCTGTATCTATATTGTCATTGCTCTTTCCAGAGCTTTGTTCTTTGTAGAATATCCTATTAAACTATATGAGTCTACATATTTTTCCTTCCTACAATTCTCTGTAAGACAAATAAACATATGTATACATGTGCACGTGTGTGTGTTTGTACACGTGTGTATATGTGTGTGTGCATGTGTGTATGTGGCTGTCACTAGTAGGACTCTGTGTGTGAATATTTATACCTACTTTATAGATAGAACAAACAAACAATTTAATATATTTTCTTAATGAAAAGAGTAGGACATTTTTTAAAGGGATGATTCTAGGATATAGAATGCTGATTACATTAAATAGCAATTATTCTGTTCTACATATTATACTAGTATGTTCATGTCAAAATGGTGATAATGTTAAAATGTGGAAAGGCTATATACCCCAGGACTAGTCAGCTCTACATGGCAATGACTGACATTTCTGTATGCATCCTATGAGGCTTTTAGTTGTCCCTCTATTTTAATACAGTTGTATTCCCTTGCTTTACAGGTTAAGTCCTTGGCTTTGCTTGATTCATATTTTGTCTTGGAATCAGTTTCTTTGTGAGTAAGTGTTTGCTGATGTTTAATCATGTCTCCTACTGGATATGCAGAAATGGATAAATGGGCTAGGCATGTATGGAATTTTTTTTAAGGTTGCTAATCTCCAGGGAGGTCCCGCAGTTCCCATTTCCATTTTGTGGTTCAATTTACACTCTCATTTACACTTTCTAAGGCTCTCAATAGGATGTCAAATCCCATTGTGCCAGGTAATTGATATTCATTATCACTTAATTTATCATTCTTGTCAAAACTATGAATTCAATAATCAGAAAATCGTTCCTTTTTATATTCTTTAATGGTTAGAGGTAATAATTTCCATGTTTGTTGATTGTAGGATTTATTTTTGTGATTATTCATTTATCTTTATATATGCTTTCTATTTATTGAATTATCTTATTCCTAGCTTAGTACTTTCATTTGAATATTTTATATTTTTCATGCATAAATTACTAACATTTTTAACACATATTTAAATGATTTTTGCAGCATGAATAATGAAAACCCAGAGACAGATGTTGGGGTTCAAGTTGAAGATCAGACAAGTAAAGCATCCAGTCAGTAGCTTCTACCAAGGCTGAAATGGAGATCCTGTCTTCCTTGTGTCTGGAAACTAATTATCATATGTGACCCTTTCTTTCTTCCATATATACCTCTCTATTCCTGAGAATAAAGGCATGAGCTCTGTTTCTCTTTTAGACTGATCCACTCTTATGTAGCCCAAAGTAGTCTTGGACTCAACAGAGATCCATCTTACTTTGTCTTCTGAGTCCTGGGAATAAAGGTGTGTGCTACCTCTGCCGGGGTTCTATAGCTAATTAGCTGGGTTGGCTTTGCATTCTGATCTTCAGTGCTTTTATTAGATCATAAACAATGTATCACCATAATCTTTTAAACATTTATGTCCTTTGTTAAATGTGTACTTACTTTGGATTATTGCATTTTTAGTGCATGTATATTTTAGGGTGTCATAGTTTTAACATCTATCTGTTACATAAAATTTCTGTCTTATTTTTATGCCTATAAAACTTTTCATTATTTCAAAATCAGATAATTGTCTATACTTTTCTCTAGTTTTTTTATTTTACCTTTAATCCTTTGCTGTCTCTGGAACTAATTTTGGCATATGGTTTAATATGGGGATTTACTTAGCTATTTTTCCTTGAATTCCTTGTCTTGGGCCTTAGGACTCTTCAGGACCAGTAGGACGAGTTGGGTTTTTGTTTTGTTTTTTAACCTATTTGCTTACTCTTTGCTGCTCTTGTTTCTCTAGTTAGTCTCTGTCCTTGCTTTATACTTTATGTTAATTTTCTAAATGAAGATTTGACAGCTGTTTTCCCATCTTTGATAGATGGTATTCCTCAACATGCTCATCTCTAGTGAAGAAACCCTTCCCTGCTGCTTCAGAGAATGCTAACTAAAGACAAATATCTTGTCAATCTAATATATCCATTAAAAATTATCAGTTACCAAAAGACTTTTCCATTGCTAGCATCCTTATTGCCCTTAACACCAGAGACTGTCTTCAATGCAAAATATGGGCCTCATCTCCCTACTTCACCATATTCTCCACATCAAAATTTGGCTTTTGGGTCAGTGCGATGAGTCGGCATATGAAAGTACTTCCTGTGCAAACCTTGTGACCTGAGTTAGATCCCTGGATTCCACTGTGTAAACAAAAAACTAGAGAACTGACCCCTGAAAGTTTTCCACTGACTGCCACAAGTGTGCGTAGTATGTACACATGAATAGTCACACACATCATGCTGTCTCTCTCTTTCTCATTCTCTGTAATAAGAGTTGTAATAATAGTAATAGATAATATTACTTTTAAATTGATCTCTGTTGTAGAATGTTCTTGATTACTATTTTACTTGGCAGATGGATGAATTTTCATGATAAAAGTAATGACAATAGCCAGTGACTTTTGATATATGTTTGCTCTGTAACAGTCTGTCTTCTTTGTAAGTGTTTTGGAGGCATTATTTTTCATAATTCACCAAATAAGACCAGTTTGTTTTGGTCACAATAGACTTTACTAATGTAAACACTTTGAGAACAGTGGTGCCATTATGTCCCCCACATTCAAGGAAGCATGCAGAGACAGTCAAAGTTCCCCTAAATGGCTAAGGTCAAATAACTAGGCAAGGAGTATAGATTTCTCTGCCTAATTCCTCAGGGAAATATTTTAAATTCCTTTTAATTAGTTTATCCTGACAGGTGAACTCCTGGATATTTAGAAAGATCTTAATCTTTTCAAATTACCGTCATCCTTTAATTTTATCACTATTTTAAATTACAGGTGTGTGTGTGTGTGTGTGTGTGTGTGTGTGTGTATGCATGTGAGTGAAGAGGCCTGAGAGGGCAGCAGTGTTGGATATAACTCCCTGAAGCTGGAGTTACAGACAGTTATGAGCTGTTCTTTGTGGATGCCTGGGACTAAACACTGGTGGGTGCTCTTAAATGCTGAGCTATCTCTTTAGGCCTTCTACTACACTTGAACCCTGAAAAATTTTGTAGATTTTATAGGTCTGAAATATTTTCTTAAAAATTAGGATGATAGTGAACTGTTGATAGTTTTGCTTGATGTTATAATTTTGTTTCTGAATCATTTGCTAGAAGCTCTTGTCCTTGAGTCCTGGTGAAATGGCTCAGTGGGTAAAGTTCATGCAATGCAGGCATGAGGATCAGAATTTGAATTCTAAAATGCATGTAAATGCTTGCATGGTTTGGTGACCCACAGCCACATAGTAGTGTGTTATAAGGTCAAGACAGGGGATCCCTGGAACAAGTTCACTAACTAGGTTTGCCAATCAGTGAGCTCAAGTGAGAGAATTGCCTTAATGTATAAGGTGGAGAAGTGACTAAGGCACACTCCTGGTGCATTAATCCTGGGTCTCCACATACAAAGCCACACCCACAGGCATATGTTCCACTACACATGGGAACACATACCCACCCACCCACCCCCACCAGGTGATGAATGAATGAATCTATAAATAAAACACAAAAAGCAATTCTTACCCTTCAATGGTGTCTGAAGCCATATTTTAAAGGGTCGATGTTTCTTAGGAGTTGTTGTATGTAATTTTAACGGACGTCTTCATAAAAGTACTCTGTGCCCCAGCAACAAGGTGAAATAAAATATTATAATCAGAAAGCTACCAATTGAATGGTTGGAGTGTGATTTTGTGGAATTACAGCAACTTCAATAGAAATACACAACTGAGTGTAAACAGTACCAACGTCATTTTGCCTTGGGCTGTGAAGTCAAATGGGATCTTAGATCTCAATTGCATTTCTTTCTTCTTCACATTTATTGATGGACACATCTAGACCATGCTATGTTGAAGGATTCTTCCCTAGTACATGTTCCTTTTGTCACACAGTCAAATTCTAGAGGTAGATAAGGTGATAAGACAGGGCTGGAATATTCATGACAATGAGCCCCGAAAAGCACTGAAATGAGCACCAGTAACTCTAGAGACATGAAGATCATCAGTTTGGTTTTATGTCCCAGCACATAGTATGGGGTCAGACAGCCATGGCCATCAGTTCTGGCTCTAGTACTTACAATCTCTATTATACTAAGGGTTTTAAAATTTCCTGAGTCTTAATTTCTGCAGCTGTTATTTGGAAGACAACAGTATCCAACTCTGTGTGTGTGTGTGTGTGTGTGTGTGTGTGTATGTGTGTGTCGTAGTTAATTAATAACACCATGTATGCTATATGATAGAACAGTACCTAACATGCATATTGACAACAGCACTGTGATGATTATTGCAAATCAAGTCAGCTGAGTGAAAGGACCGGTCTCTAATAAGGTATAGTTTGGTTGGTTTAAAACTGACCCCAATGTCAGTGTGTGAAGAAAGCAAGGTGACCTTCAGCCTTACTGTTATCTTTTAGCTTTGCATATGGAAGGTGAATGGTAAATATTTTCCATTTTCTGTTGACATTTGATGGGTTTTTAAAATCATTTTTCATTTCTTCAATGTGTTAAATTCATTAAGCTATAGCTATTTTGTTGGTCCATGGCAGGCCTATCTGTGATGTTGAGTAATTGCTTGGCACAACGAAAAGATTGCCTTCTATATTTAAACATGTTTATCAATCATGCCTTCCAGACACCATCTGCCCAAAAAGGGCCACAAATGGAGGTCCAGGGAAGGGTGACTTTGGAAGGATGCTGATCCCAGGAGCATACAGCAGAACAAGTCTGGCTCTAATGTTTCTTCAAGGTGGAAGAAGGGAGGCGGGGAGCAAACAGAGATGAAACCATGCAAGTACAATCCTGTTCTGAATTCTGCTGTAGACTTCAGAATGTGCCATTTTCTCTCCTACTAAGTCCTTCAGCCCTGAAGATACATCCAACATGCTTAGCAGCAAGAAACCAAGGAAAAATTCAATTAATATGAAGCATAAAGTTAACTTTAAAATATCTAGTCCCTTCTCCAGAAAGTGAAGGGTTGAAAATAGGCATAGCAAAAGAAGAGAATGACAAAGGAGGACACAGGTTCCACTCCCTTCAAGAATTAAGTTACAAGCACTTTTGTTTCACTTGGTACAAAGTCAGTGTGGCATTCAAAGTCACTTACATGTCCACATACCTGGGACCAGGCCTCTGAAGCTTAGGTACCACTCTTGCCTAGACCTCCTGAGAGAGTGTAGGGTTACTTGCTACTTTCCTTTACCATTTGCATTGATATTCTTATCTCTTTAACATATAACATAATATGATTTCTTTGTATTAACAGAGTCTCAAAGAAAGTTTGGAGAACATGGCCAAGGAATACAGGTATCAAAACTGAATTCCACTTATATCATAACTATTAACTCAAGGTTAAGATTTACTATTTATAGTAAATTATTATTATTAAAATTATTACCCTGAACTCTTGGGGAAGGGTCTAGGCCCTGCCCTATATGAAATGACAGACTATAGACACCCCCATGGAGGGCCTCACCCTCCCTGGGGGAACGAGGGGATAACGGGGGGGATGGGGGGAGGGCACGGGAGGAGGGGAGGGAAAGGGAGAGGGACCTGGAACTGACTTGTGAAGCAACCTTGTTTCTTATCTAAATTAAAAAAAAAGAATAAAAAAAGTTAAAAAAATTAATATATGTTCCATGAAAAAAGTTTGAAAAAACAGAAATCAAATAAAATAAACATGTTTTAATCATTTTTACTCAATCACATCAGTGTGTGTGTAATATATGTCATTTGGAAACTTACATAATGGCAAAGACTATGTCAACTAAATGATACTAAATGTTTCAGTATTATGTGATAACCTTTATCACCTTTCTGACCCTTAGATTTCTCATCTTTGGAAGTAATGTTCTTCCTAAACTTCTAGTTCTTTACTTATAAAATGAAAATACAACCACTTGTTTCATAAGTACTTTCAGAGAATTAACCTCTAGTCTCATAAAAACACTGGACTTACCTGATTAGTTATTGTTATAACAGACACCATGGCTATTGTGGTTGTTGTAATTGTTTATAAGAATAATTTACTGTGTCAATATTTATTCTACATTTGCAGCTCTCAAGTCATTGCTCATTACTATCACAAAAGAACTTTTGAAGATATTTTCCTTTAATTGCTCCCCATGTGAAAATTTAACATTATAAACATAACCCATTGTTTTTATGAGCTGCATGCATGTTTGGGATATTCATCCAGAAAGAGTG